TGCTGAGCAGTGCTTACACAGAGTCAAGGCCTTTCTGCCTCTCACACCACCCACCAACGAGTGGGCTGGGGGTGCAGAAGGAGTTGGGAGGGGGCACAGCCAGGACAGCTGACCCCAACTGACCAAAGGGTTATTCCAGACCATATGGCTTCATGTTCAGTATATAAAGCTGAGGGAAGAAGAAGGGAGGGGGAAACGTTCAAAGTTATAGCACCTGTCTGCCCAAGTAACCGATACGCGTGGTGTAGCCCTACTTTCCTGGAGAAGGCTGAACACCTGCCTGCTGATGGGAAGTGGTGAATGAATTCCTTGCTTTGCTTTGCTTGCATGTGCAGCTTTTGCTTTACTTATTAAACAAGTTTTCTCACTTTTACCCTTGCAATTTTCTTCCTCATCCCACCAAGGGAAAGTGAGGGGAGTGAGCCAGCGGCTGTGTGGTGCTTAGTTGTCAGCTGGGGTTAAACCATGACAAGGGTCTATAGCTGATGGCACCCTTCAGCTCTAAGCTTGAAAGTTACTTCTGGGGAAAAAGAATACCCAAAGGAGAGAAAGAGGAAGGTGAAAGTGTAGCTCTCCCAGGAGTCAGGAAGAGATGCAATAAGTAGGCTTCAGACGAGCATCTTCCTCTAGACACCCTCTCCAGAGCAGCATGTTCCTCTTCACTCCCCATATTTTTCCTGTAGTAACTCTATACCTTTTGTCAGGCCTTGCCCATTCTCCCTGTTGTTTTTTCCTGATACAGGGGCTGTTAGTCTTGGGGCATGTATTGACTGGGGCAGATGCTGCTCCCCTGGTTCGCTGCTTTGCCTTGGGCACGCCTGTTACAGGATCCTCTAAACCTAAAGGTAAAACGTATGGGTAGGAAAAAGACTTGAGGGGGAAAAGGGCAGATTCTCACCCTGGTTGCCAGAAGAACCTGCTCTAACAACACTACTGGGGTTTGCAAGCGCAAGACCGTGACAGTAACAGCATGAAAGCAACAGCACAAGAACAACAAGGGAAAAATACCGCCATGACCACTTAGGTGAAGAGTTCCAGAGCTGCAAGCAAAAGCCAGGCTGCAGAAGGCAAGTAGAAGGTGTTTAGCAACAAAAAGGCTAAGACACATATGGCATTTTGCAAATGTTTTATAAATGTCATGAAAACAACCCTAATTACAATCTTGTGATACAAGGAACTACCCATCCCATTTGACAGATAAGCAGATAAAAGCATAAAGCCCTAGAGACAAGAAGGCCACAGACAGGGTCAGAACTCAGGTAAGGCTGGTTCCAAAGCACTCTCCCAAAACAGCGTTTGTTCCTGATATACCTGATATACCTTAGAGAAGTCACATAATCTGTGACTCATGCTGGTTTGTGAGAGTTAGGATGCTGCATCCACGCTGCTCAGTATCAGCACCAATGTAGGACCTTTACGTACGCACAGCACCAGAGAAATCACTCAGAAACAATTCACCTACAGTGCAAAAAGTGTGATCATTCCTGGCAGCAGGTAATTACAGCTCGGCAGGCAAATCTAATCCTCCCCCTTTTGCCCCTACCTCCTGCCTACATTCCTCCTTTCCCCCAAAAGCTTAACTCTACTGTTGTCAGACCTGAGGCATTTAGGGACATGTCAGGACAGCAGCAGGGCAAGCCTTGCCCCAGACCAAGACTCTCCTGCACACTCCAAGTCACAGCATTAACAAACCCTGGTATGACTGCTGTAATTTCTGCATGCAGCCACCCACAAACACCAGCACAAGGGCTGTGAAAGGAGTATCCATCGTTAGCGCCTAGCGCGACTTCCACCCAACATGTTTTCAGCAGTTTCTGGAAAACAAGGGCAGGCTACTTCCTCACACAGAACTATAAAAGCACCTGTCACTAGACAAGCCTCAACTGTAAAATTCCCGCTCCCTGGAAGTTTAGTAAGATCTACTTGAGTCAACTTTCCTATAAAACTTCTTCAGTGTCAAACAGGACTAGAAGCACTAAGTCATGGCAGAGAGCACACAGGTGAGAGAACTGATACTCTAGGTATCTTAAACATTGCTTTATGGTTGCAGAATATAGGGAGAATTGGGACATCTTGATACTGGAACATTTCAGCAAATTCAGGAAAACTCAGAGAACAGTGAAATAATCAGAAGAAATTAATTCCTCAGAAGAAATAAAACTTTGTCAGTTGGAGAGCACAATTGCTGCATTCAAGAATAAAATTCTCAGAGGAAGGACTAACTGCCAGGGAATGTTTTTCAGGGGATTATTTGGGAGATGCAGCAGGGAAGGGAAGGACTCTGAAATCTCTTCCTAGTTCTGCCTTGACATACTGCATGGTTAAGGCACAACACTTACACCCACCGTGTTTGTAGAACTGAACTGCTGGTAATTACTGAGGCAGCTGCAGAAGTACAGACTGGTCTGTTGAGGACGGAACACCTTTGTATTTATGAGAAGCTTGAAATTACACTGCAGCTCACTGAAAGGTCACTTCTAGTGATCATTGGAATGACTCTGTCGCTGTGTCCTGGGAAACAGTCTAGACATATCAGCTGATGTTGCAGTACTTTTTGTGATAGCTGTTATTCTTAGGAGAGCTTTACAATGCTAAGGTTAAAATTAAAACACCAATGACTTAACAGACTGAAATAAACTCAGTGTGTGTGTGGAGGGAGGGAGAAGCACAGACCTCCTCTCACACAATCCCAAGTTATCAACAATACCGAAAGCTGAATTTTCACTTACCAGTAGATTCTCCGGCTTGATATCCCTGTGGACAATGTTCAGGCTGTGAAGATATTTGATGGCACTGGCCAGATTGTAAAGCATCCCACTGGCATCCCGCTCTGTATATTTGTTGGTGGAAGTAATAGCATCGAAAAGATCTCCTCCCTGGAGCAAAATGACCATGGCATATAAGCAACACTGCTTGTGAAATGACTGAATACTTTAGGGAAGGTCAAGGAGCATCATTTATAGAGGAGCAGGAGGAGGGCCAAGCGGTACAGTTTCCTTGCAGCTATAAACTTTGGGTACTGTGATGACATCCCCCATAATGGCAGCGGAACATATCAGTAACTCAGAACCATTTGTCAGGGTTCGGTAGATCAGCCGAGAGGCCCGAGTCTCTCCTGCAAACTGTTCCCACTTCCTGCTGCTTTTGTACCATGTCCAGCACTTGCCAACCTGTGTGTTCAGAGCCCCTGTGGCAAATTTCTGGCATGCCTGCATACTTGCCTGCCACAATGCCACGCACCAACCCTTGCCACCCTGTTATAATCTCAAACAGGCTGGCATCAAACTTTTGCCAAAAGTCAGACTGAACTCCAGAAAAATGAAGTTGAGCAAAATTCAAACCGGCTACCTCTCATTACTGCTAGTGTGTTTTAGAAGTCTGTGTCCATCTCATAAAACTTTGAAAACATGGATTTTAGAAACTACTTTCTCTACACAAGATGTGAAGTTTTTGGTAGTGTGATGGTCTTCTTGCAGCTAATACTGAGAAACTTCCCTGCACATATCTCAGATTGTCATACTGGAAGACACTTAAGAATTAATATTAGTATTTCACCACAGCTACAAATACAGATCGCAGCTTGTCCCATTTTCAGCTCATCACGCTGTCTAATTCAGCAAAAAGCTACTTCCCGGGAAAGAAAAACAAGAAAAGAAGGGAGAAAGACAAAAAGAAGGAAAATTAAGTGTAAGTCCTTGAGGTTGCAATGATCTTCACAGGGATCTGAGGCAGCCATGACATTCAGGCTGTATTTCCAGGGCTGAGTTGGCAAGTGGGAAGAAGAACATGTAAGTTCTTGGAGAAAGACCAAAAAATAAGTTTCAAGAAGAGACTAAGGAGGAAGCTTGACAGAGTGGAGGGAAAAACAAACATCTTGTAAAAGACACTCCTCAGAGGTATTGGGCCTTTGGCCAAAATCAAAGCAGCACCATAAAGGAAACGCAGACCAACAGAAAAACAAAAGAGGATGGAAATGACAATTCTGCAAAAACAATGCAAAAATTCCCTGCTGCAGCCAAAACATCAAGGAAAAAAAATATATCATAGGAGACTGTATTTTAAGGAAAAAGTAGGTATTTTCTGAAGGCAACAGAGGAGTCCCAGCTTTGCCAACTCTCAAGATTTTATCAACAGACTCAAGTTATTTGGAGGGTGTTTTTAAGGTTCAGCTTCAGAGAAAACATTGTTTTCACAAAGGGAAAGGGGGAGGAGGAAGAATTAAAAAAAATATTTTTCCAGGAATCATGGATACAGAGAAAGAGGTAGGAAAGACAACCACCAAAGACTCAAACCTCAGACAATAGACGTTGCTTGTTAAAACCCCCCTGAACAAACTATTAAAGATTTTGCATTGTTGAGGTGATCTGAAGTCTGCCAGGGCAGATTTATTCCCACTGCAGATGCAAAGCGCAGCTTTGGAAACTGCTTGCAGCCAACCATTGTCGAATCTGAACCACATGAAAACCTCTTCCCCATCAAGATACATCAAGATACATAGTGTCAAGGAAAAGGAGGAAGAAAAGGCCAAACCAAACCAGATAGAGAATTAGAGAGTGAGGCCAAATATTTGGCAGAAGTACAATACCATGTACTTCATGCCATTAACTGATCCCTACGTATTAGATATCAGCATGTGGCAAAATATGTGGGATAAATAATCTATCTTCCCTAAGCTCCTTCCTGTGAAGACCCTGTACCAGCTGCTTTTTAACATGAAGTAGTGGATTAGACAGATCTTTGGTCTTATCTAATAAGTTCCAGATGCTCAGGAGAAGTGTCAATAACATCAACAAAGGATGATGTCTCAAAACAAAGAAAATAGCCTGAGCTGAGATGTGCGGGGTGAGAAGGAAAGAAGCTGAACCTTAAAAAGAGAAGGGAAAATTTTGGTCTACTCTCAGAAGAAAAAGCATAAATGTGCACGCACATGAGAAACTTAAACTCAGAAAACTACAGAGGCTGCAGAGCACATTAGGAGGCGGTCAAGCCGATCTGAAGCAGAATTATTTTCTCCAGTTAAGCAGCCCACTTTACTCAGTAACATTTCTCACCAGGTAGCCTGCTTAAGAAAAGAGAGCATATATTTAGTCTGTGGCATTCTCTGCAGTTAACAGAGAGGTGATGTCCTGTGAAGGGTTAACAGAGCTGACTGTTGTATCAGGCAGAATTGTTTTCAGACTTCCCTTTCCCTAAAGAGCACTTGAACCTGCAAGGTTCTGCTTAGCCAATTCACACAGCAGGTCACTATCATTTATTCAGGCACAAGGGGTGAGTTCAGGATGACATTTCAGTCTTAAATCCCCTGTTCTGGAGTGAAACGGGACCACTAACATCTGAATCCAGTTTTTATCATCTGTGCACATGAGGAAGTATACTTCGGAGTACAGTAACCAATTATTTATTTATTACCTTGTTATGTAAATGATATAATCTCTCTTTTCTTCTGCAAAAGTGAAATCATATCCTGGAGCAGTGAAGGAAACTCTGCAATAAATCTTGCTTGCTAAATTGGCCAAACCCCTGTTAGGTTTGAATAACAATTTTGTTTCGCTGTGTAAAAAGGCAACGTGCCAGAAGCCAGGTCCTTGCTTCCTTTTACAAGCACCACTTGCAATGTGTTTATATTTGTATTTATGAAGTGCTTTTTCTTACACTTTACAAAGCAATGAATGGCCTATCTGCCATGAGGTGAGGGCAGTACTTGCAGCAGCCACTTATGTCAAACATGTTACTGCCAATTAATGCAGGGTGGTATTAACTGAAACCGTGCTCTGCACTATCAAGCCTTTTCTCCTTGAATTTCTTTCCTGTCTGTGAGTTTGATTTAAAGTCAGGTCTTCAAAAGTCAGTCACTAACAGATGGTTAATCAATTCTAACAGTGCCCGCTATGAAATGGTAACCATCAGCAACTGGTGAATTAGCAATTAATGTCTTTCCAGAAATACCTTCTCCGGTGCCTAAGGAGTGTAACAAGGTGGGTTTTTTTTTTTAATTAAATATTAAGGAATAAATGTTTGCTTCAAAGAAGTAAAGTTAACTTCCCAGGATTAGGACATTTTTTCTAAATTTCTTCTATTATTCCACATAAAAGTAAAGAACATAAAACGGTGCTCTCTAGGATATCTGAACTACAGAGATGTCTATAAAGCCTTTCTATAGCATAACTAAAAGCACAAATATCTTGGTATGTGTAGCAATCCTGAAGAGTAAAGAAGAAAGAGTGCAAACCCCCAGATTTTTTCCAGAAAGTAAATATAATGGACGGTTTTCTTTATATAAAAAATTTAGGCTCATTATTTTGTAAGAGTTTTTGGTCCCCTCCTCTGTTATTTAGCTGAGTAGGACTTTGATTAAAAACCCACTGGAGACTACAGTTTGAACATCTTTCAGGCATGAATAGCACAGCAGGTTGCACCCATAAAACCGGCTGTGTGCTTACGTCCTGGCATGTTAGACAAGGCACAGCTTTTACTTCTTAGCACACCTCATGGGGCCGCGATGAAGAATGCGTCGATACAGGCTGAAGCTGCGGCTACGCTGGATGACAGCGCTGTGCAGGAGTACTGAGGTACCTCTGAACAACGGGAAAACCTATGGTAACGTGGATCTCAGAGCGAGCTCACTTACCATAGAAAAGAGCAGTAATTATGACAAAAATAGAGTTAGATGGTTAATGGCATCTGATACGAAGCTGTGCTATTTCACTCCTGAGTGTGAGAGTGGGCTGTGACTATGGAGAAGGTGGGGATATTCTTCTGGGACTGGTTACAGAGAGGGATTTGTGGTGTGGAAGAATGCCAGTATTTTGGGTTTTTTCTTAGGATTTAACCTCTTCATCAGAGACTAAATGGGGATTCTGGCACCCTGTCAGTTCCTTGCCACCAGCAGGCCCCAGTGTGCTTCCTCAGAGTTTGGAGGTGGTGGACAGCAGGGTTTGCTGGACCATAAGCTCCATAACCACACTCAAGCCAAATTGGGCAGACTAAAACATAAGAGGACAATGTTTCCATCTCCTAAGCTGTGGGGCATGGCCTGAGTTTCTCATGGATAATACGGCTGTCTCAGACTGCCAGAAGGACAGGGAAAATCTGTGACTATCCACCCATGGACCACACATCGACAGCCTCCCAGCTCTGCACAGGGAACACGGCTTGTGTCCCCACTGCTGCCACAGAGCACGGGGTATAAATGAAGAAAAAAGCTTTTCTTCCTCCTTGTACTCATATTCCAGTCCAGAGATTGAAAAGTTCTTTAAAAACACCTGGATCATCCTTTCTAACATCTCCATGAGGTGGTAAGAGCATCCCCCAACCTCCACCTACAGCCAGAGCAAAGGAGGTAACAATCCTGCCTGCTAAAATTGCTTTCTTTCACAGCCTCTGGTGGTGCCTGTTTCTAACCCTGGGTACAGAGGATGTCTGCTGAAGGCATCCACACTTAAGGTAAGTGGAATTGATCTGCCTTGTCCACACTTTTAATTTAAGGTAAGTGGAATTGATCTGCCTGCCAGGGTTGAGGTTGCCCGACTTGCTCCCAAGTGTTAAGCGTGCGCGTACATCAGGCCTGCACACGAACACTGTTGCTGCACAGCTTTGTTGTAATCTTTGTCCTTAAACAACTGGAAACATGGATTTCCCAGGGGTAGGCATGATAGGCTGTCCCAGGAGAATGTGCTGATCAAGATACAGAAATGGAGGTGGCTGCTGCAAAGATCTCCTTCCCACAGAAGAGTTGAGGAAGGAAGGAGAATAGGTAATCCCATTAGCAAACGTGAAAAACAGGTGTATTCTGTTGAAGTATGGAGGACAAGGTGTCCTCAGTGGACCTCTGCCCTAATTTGCACAATTTACTCAAATGTATTTTTACCACCTTTTATGCACAGTGACATACTTGTGTATTAGTTCCAGAACCGAGATCTAAATTCATACCTCTTGCACTTCACTGCTGACAGTATGGGGGCAAGGGATGGATGACCTGGTCTGAGTTTCACAATCCAGTCTGAATACTTACTGAATATGAAACCTGGAAGTTACTATGAAGAAATAAGTAGGGTCCCAAATATAAAATACTGCGTTCGCAAACTTACTTTTCAGAATAGAACCATGCTTTAAATAGCAGTTTTTTTCTCTTCATCTTCCCACCTCCTCCAAATTAAATTTAGAATATTATCAAGGAGGCAAGCCTGACAATGTGTTAGTATAAATCATAGAGAAAAAAAGACAGGTAATATTGTTTAAATGTAACATAAATTAATACAATTTAATTAAACTCTATTTAACTAAGAACATTGAGTTTTGAAGGCTGGTATTTATGGTTTTTGGGACTGGGTGTACTTTGAATTCACCTCAAGGCAGATGCATTTCTTTAAGATAAAATGTTTTAAAGAGATTTCTTCTGGGGGAGCAAACTGGTGATCTCCAAAGTACTGTCCATAGAGCACTTCTGAGTGTGGCTTACAGAAAGTTAGGCAAACATCTGAAATATTTGAGAGCTATCAAAAAACAAATCTGACAGTGGGTTACACATCTTTCATTAGGGTGCTGGGCAAGACTACCTTCAGAGACCCCTTCCATTCTAAATTATCCTGTGATTCCATGATTTTTAGTAAGCTTTAGTACCAATGAAATTTCTCAGTACAGTTGAAGCAATTCTTAATAAGCAGCTTGTCTCCACAATACTCACCTTGACAAGTTCCATGACAAGGTACAACTCAGTTGGCATGTCCATCTCCTCAATCAGAAGTACAATATTGGGATGCTTGACTCGTCTTAAAATGGATACCTCGTTCTGGATCATGTGTTCCTGCCACACCAAAGAAATCCTTAATGACTATGGGTTGGTGGGAAAAAGTTTCGCCTCCATTGTACAGTGGAAAATGCAGAGAATTGGGACCTGTGTGGACCCTTCAGTGTTTTTTAAAAAGGTAACAGACGTTACCAGCAATATGGAAGGAACACATCCAGAAACAACAGCAGTGTGACAACTGAGAGGGGAACAGAGAGTGGAGCATAGAAAAAGAAATGGAGGAAAAGACATGTTTCTGATGCAGAGAAAAATTAAATACGGAAGCTTCTGATTTTTTTTCCCCAATGCAGAATCATTGCATTTAAAAATATGACAGCATCTTCTCAGAGAACCTTTTGTTATAGATTTCAAAAGCTAACAGAAATTAACTTATTATAAAACTGACATCAATTTGAGTAACCTTGCATATTGCTTAGACATAGTGACCAGTGTTGTTATAATAATTAGTATTATTTTTCTGTTTTCTATTACATCTGGGATTATGAAAGCTAGAGACATAATTACAGGGGTGAAGAACAAGGGGAGTGAGTGTACCCACACACAACTAACTGGAGAGTCAACACACGCATCTAGAAAGGCACATTGCAGCCTTTTATACTGACACTCCACGGGTCTCCAGAGGGCAGGCAAAGGATTCAACCAAAAAGATTCTAAGTCTTGACAGGAAGAAGGCAAATACCAACAGATTCCCAAAGTTCTCTCTCATAAAATGTATCTTAAAAAAAACCCATCTTTTAGTCTCATTTTATTTTTGTGTACTTACTTTTCCTCTACATTTACTTTTTTTGATTATTTTCAGAGCATATTCTCTACCAGTTGATCTGAGGAAAGAGAAAAGAAAAATTGTATGTTCAATCACATTGAATATTTTTCTCAGCCGAGTTTATATTTGTCATTTTGAGCACAGTAGTTCTGGGCAAGAATTCTATTCAAGTATTTGTTTTGTCAAGAAATGAGGCTTGGATCTGTCTGGAATTGTGAACTTGAGCAAAATTAATTGAATACGTGTGTCTGAGAAAAAAGCATTAAGCATTTTTTTTTTAAATGAAGACATTTCAATGTTTCACTTGATTATTTGTTTTGTACTGGTATTTGTTATTTATTCTGCAGTTTTACGTAAATATATTATACAGCATTTACAGATCCAAATCTTCTCAAACCTGACTTTTTGTTGTCTATTAAGCAACAACACAAAAAAAGCCATAGTAAATACTTCTATTTTTTTACTTGAGATGGAGAGCCATTTGTTTTATCTTAGCACTCGCAACTGCCAAGATAAAAAAGTCAGGCCTTGGAATAATGTTTTAAGTATTCAGTAAGTACATGATACCTAGCAGAGTTAAATATGATGCTTAAAGGACAGAATACGAAAGGTTTTGGAGACAGTAAGAAGTTACAGAGAATTAGTTCAGGATGAGAACACATTTCCTTCCAGGTGGGTTTTTTTTGGACACCACATAATATTTATCATTCCCACAAACAGATATTTAGCATATAGAATGGTCACAAAGAAAACTAAGCTTGTAGACAAGTTCACAATATCAACTTCTATTTCTTAACCAAAAGATGGCTGTGAGGATGACATCAAGAAGCTCTGTCCACATGTTCTACTATCACTGTATGTTAAATGAAGAACGGATAATATAAGAAAAAGCTCTTATTGAAACGCTTTTGTTTTGTAATAAAAATCTAAAGAGTTTCCGAAAGTCTAATACACTGCCTTTAGGCATATGTTTGGCTAAAAACTAAAGAAAAAAAATAACCTCTCAAGCAAATGGGGTGAATTTTTTTCATACTTCATTTAGAAAAATCTGTTTAAATTGATACATTAAATTGATAAACAGTCAGTTAAACAGAAAAATGAATGTGCCTAAAAGTGTGCAGAGTCTGTTAAGTAGGACATGCAAAGTGAGTCATAAACTGAAAGCACCGCATAAGGAAAACAACTGGGCATTTTCACTGCCACATTCAAGCACGGAGTCCTCCTCTGGCAATGATGTACCACTAGGTATTGATTTGAGGGAGAATGGGGGCTTCAGTAAAAAGTCAAAAAAAGAACCCAAAATATTAGTTCTGTTTGAATTCCCAGGTCAGCAGGGAGCAAAGACAGTCTGTATTACGACATCAATTAAAAGAATGTGCAAAGAAATCACACTGGATGATGATGTTTATGACTTGGAAAAAAAAAGTACAGCATGGCTGTTCAAGACTTAAGCAAAGGAAAATTAAAAACTTGTCATACCTGCACTTCCTCCCAAAGGGGTTTAATGCCACTGCCCCTACAAATGGGCTGCACTCTATGTGGGGTGCCCCTTCCCAGTGCTGCTGCTTGGTGGCTACAGTCGTTGCTCATTGAGGGGACATTATGTTTGGAGAATGGAAGGAGGAGGTAGGAGAAGGAACATTGGAAATTAAGGTATTTGGGGTTCAAACTCAGACAAAATATGCCCTCTTTCAATAGGAGTCTCTTTCATGCTGCTTGGTTGCCCTAGGAATGCTTCCCTTCTGTCATGAGAAACGAAATTGATGGTTTTTGTTGGCCATGGGAGACTCCATGTACTCCAAAACACTGGGAAACCTGAGCTAGTGAGGAAATGTCAGAATTTAGAAGTATCTGAAAGTTAAAAATGAACACATATAAAAACACCGCAGGACAAATTGCGCATACGATGGAGCAGATCTGTAACGAGCAGATGACAACTCTGACTGCTCTTTGTTTTGGTAAAAAGAAAATTAAAGCTAAGATAATGCAAATCCTTTCCCCTGAAAAGCTGCAGAACTGCAGGCTGTCAGCAGCGCTGCAAGTTACACACCTGCCAAAAAATACGCACAGCCATGCCAGAAACTCGCAGTGGAACGGGCGTATCACCTCTCACCTCTCACCTCTTGCTCAACCCCGACAACGAGAAGGTACCACACGAAGCAGGCAACATCTTATGGCTGGATAAAAGTCTGGACCCAGAGCACTAATGGAGGGCACAGAGTCAGACCCCTAGCTCAGACCAGGGTGCTGTGCCACACTCCCCGGCTGTTTTAACCTTTCCCAAAGTTCAGAGATTTCCACTGCACTGGAGACAAAATTCTACCTTCCTTATTTCTGTGTGTGTGCTGCATGTACTGGAGGGGGGATGCGCACGCCCGTGCGTTCACAGAGGCACAAGATAGGATTTAGAAGTCTCCACGTGGAAATTTTGAAGACGGTTTATCGGTTTCTAATTGGAGGGTTCGCTCTCAGAGGAAAATGCCTGTGAAGGTGTTGGAAGCAGCGGGATGGCGAACCAGTGCACACGGGCTGGTCTCCACAGCTCTGGAGAAGAAGTATCCATGTGAGCAATGAAGATGTGTAACCAGACCCATTCCTACTTGCTTAACACCTCATGGCACTATTGCTTTGAAGTCGAATGCACACAGGAACTGTACGTCAGAAGAAAGTGGAAAAGCCCCCTCTGTCCCGCCTATCACCCCATCAATTCTGGCTCTGCAAATGATGGACGTATCAGACTTTGAAGTGAGGTGTTTTCTGCTTAGAAAGGCTGTGCAGAATGTTTTTGAAGGGGTTTTACATGTACTGGCTTTAATTTACCTCCTGAGCCTTTAATTTCTCCTTGCACACTTGTGGTAGCCAGGGTATACTGCTTTAGAAGCGGAACATAACAGAAATTATTCTACTTCATTTTCAAGCTCTCCCAAAGCAGCAACTCTCTGGTATAAATGGCATCTAAGGAATAGTATGGCTCAGAGACCGTAAGAGCATGTATCTGGGAATACCCGAGTAAACATGCTATTTGAGCACATATTCACTAGATACATCGTGTTACTGGATACTTCTGGGACCAGGGGGATAGACAAGAGAACAGGAAACAGTTTTCATTTAAGCTCTCGAGGATATTGTAATTGTTATTATTTTTAGGTGTGGTGGGACCTATATTTAATTTTGTTCAAGTCTTTTCTCTCAGCTTGAGAAAGAGTTGTAAAATGCACACTAGCACATCTGAACTGTCCCTCAGCACAACTGGCATTTTCAGTGGAATGACAGAGTATCAAAACCTCAACTTTTTTTAAATTTGGCCTTGTAATCTATTTCTCTCAGTAATTACTCACTTTACTTTTAGCTTGCCTTTTTCTCTTTCCTAGTTATATATTTTCACCCATTTTTCATCAGTCGTGCCCCCCACCCCCCCCAGCGTTTTACTGTGCTTTCTTGGTTTCATACTGTTTTCTTTGCTTCCTTTAGGTTTCCATATTCCCCAGTTCAGGGTTTAGACCCTGCGGTTTGATCTGAACAGCTACTGCCCTCCAGATGACCAGCTCCACCATGAACTCAGCCTGACAGAGCTCTAAAGACCTCACAGGAGCTTTGGCCAAGTCCCACAAGCATGCTGTCAGCTGATACAAAATCCACTCTTCCCCCTTTCCCCAACAGCTGTCTTCATGGTCTCTCACTTGCCAGACTCTTTCAGATGCAGAGTGGGACCTGTCTTTTTCCAAAGAGACTCCAGTTTAAAACCAGCCAAGCTAATTCATCATCATCTGCCATGAGATCTAATCTTAACTTACTCGCTAGGGTTAATATCACATTCTTACAGGGTAAAGAGTCCCCTCTCTAAGAGATGGTGATAGGGGATAGAAAATGTCACTTGGGGAATTTTGTTATCAGGCCCTGACATCTCTATTGTTCTTTCTTTTGGACATCTCTAGCTCTGGCAGTTCTTTGCCTTCTCTGAAAAGCTTGAGCAATCTTACAACTATGTCACATACAGGTACCGTCTGTCTTTTTTACCCCACATTCTCCTATTTTTAACAATACCAACAAGAGGCACCTGCAGTTCTGCTCAGAGCGTTTCTTTGTCCCCCGTTTTTTACACTCTTAACATTGGGTAGAGCCAGTGCAAACCTGGTGCATGATCTGCCTGAGCAGATGTAGAAACCGACACCTGAGCTGGTGAACCTGCACACTTTCAGCAACACCGACAACTGAGGTGATTGTGACTTCCCTAATTTGGAGTGGAAGTCCAAAATCAGTCTTTAAAGGTGACTGTTCTCACCTCTTAACAGGAAAGGGCACTGAAGAAGTTAGATTTTGATGTCTGCAGTGCAGGCTCCTAAAGTTGGATGGAGCTCATACAACGAAGCAGGAGATAGATGCCCATTTAATTAAAGGTAAACATGGAAGAGTTTACTCCTCAGTGTCAGATGGCAGAAGAGATAGTTCCTGCTCTTGGTGCTGACCACCACCACGACACCATGCACACAAAACTCCCTGACATCTTTACAGAACGTTTCTACATGTGAAATGTTTCCACGGTGTAATGTAAAGGGAAGGCTGCAAGAATATACTGCAAGAAAAGATGTCATTTCACCGAGAAAGATTTGACACAAAGAACTGGTAAATCATGCAGAGTGGAGCAGAAAAAATCAGATAAAACCCACAAAGAATGAAATTCATAGATTGTCCCTTGGACTCACTCTTTTTTTTCCATCATCTGGTGTTGAGACATTACCTTATTACATGTGCTACATTCTACAAATAAAGACATGATCTAGAAAACCATGACATTAATGATTATTTTTACAGTAATAAACATATTATCCTCCTCACCTTTCTATACACTCCTTCACAATAGCAAAATTTCCATCTCCTATTGTCCTTCCAACTTTATATCGCTCTGCTATCGATGCTGGAACCTGGAAACCTTCCTCCAACACTTCTGAAAGAATCATTAGTACATTTTTATTGTTAGTGAAGGAAACACAGATGTTGCACATAACATGCATTTTAAGTCTACGGTTTAGGAGCCTGGAAACCATTCAGAGTCAGTATCTCACTTACTGTACAGTGAAACCATGCTGCTGACATTGTATATACTCAACAGGTTTCACACAGATACAATAATGAAAAATAAGACTTCTGGGGCTCAAACATACCACCATTCGAGTGTTACACAGTTTACCATTCCCACAGCAATATGCCCCCAGGACAAAACCAAAATTGTATTTTTTTAATTATGAAAAGGCCTCTGTGATCTGCACAAGCGCAGACCAGCCTCCAAAAAGGGCTGGAACTCCTTGACACAGCATGATTAAATATATGTACCAAAGAAGTCCAACACTCAAGCACTTATTTTATTACATCCTGTAAACTGAGACATCCATAAAACTCCTCATGTGCTAAGTGCTAGTTCTCCCCCTCCCCCAATATTAAATATTGTTTTTAAACAAATGTTCTCAATAATACTACCTCGCATGCAACCTGGGCACCAGATGTTTAGGTAAAGTTGCATTACACAGTGTCTAAGCATAAGAAAAGCTTGTAGTCTCATGTGTTTTAGTGCTCATTCATGTACCATTATTTTTAAATGCATTTGAAATAGCGTGTTACAAATGCCTAACATGCCTCTAAAAGCTGACTGTAAACTGCAGCCGACACAAACTACTATCTAAATATCGCAACGCAAAAAAAATGCCTCTCAAAAACGTGACTTGAATTTACACTCCTTGAGACAGCACTTTTAACTGCATCTTCATCTGTCCTTTGCGCCGGTTCAGTCTGAAAAGTGAGCACTGTGATACAAGGAGGCTGGGGTGTGCCTGAGCTCACAGACAGCATGGAGAGACACGAGCAGACGCTGCTGTGGACGTGCGTGTGAACTGGCAGTCCTGGAGCTGACACTACCCCCTAGCCAACTTGCTCAAAGCCTCAGTGTGACATCATTTCTGAGTGAAGGCCCACGACTGTTCTTCAGTACCACGCCAGACGAGACAAAAAATGAGTGAAATAATCCAGTCAGCACTGCGTCACCTGCAGAACTAATGCCCAGAGTATCCTGCAGCAAAACCACCTCTGAATAAGGATGTCCAGGTCAAATCTGACCCGGAGTGAACCTAACTGGCTTGGTAAGACTGACGAGCCTCCTCACGGAGAGTCATCCAGCCCGCAACGCTCCCACCTTCTCCGGCAGGAAGACTGACTCATTTCCTACACAGCTGCTGTTATCACTACACTGCCTGCTTTGAAATGTCAGCCTTCAAATGTTACCTTCTGCAGGTCCATCATTTTCATCCATAGAGCTGCAAACTTTGGTGGATGCTAATGAGGTAGAGGAGCCACTGTGTTGGGAGCTCTGGAAATGGAGAGACACAAATGAAAACAGATGATTCTTAAGGAGCACGAGTACCCGCAGCATGTTCCTGCTGGACACACATCCCAGAAAGGCTTCAGTGTTCCCTAAGCAAGTTATCAATTTACTTTGGTGGAGGGATGCTTGGGAAGAGTCCAGTTTTTCTACTCAAATTACACTTTTGGTACGCTTGCGTACATGGAGATATCCCTGATCCATCATGTCCAGCAATGTGCAGCAATGCTTTTAGGTATGGTCCATTCCTTTCTCCCTGTCCCACAGACATTTTGGCAGGGAAAACAGAGGAGCTGTATGCCCTCTGCAGGCAGGAGACTCTTTTCTCAGCAACACCGTTAAGCCAGCTGGCACTAGAAGCACGAACGTCTGTTTTGACTGAAGTTGGCTTTGTTATGAGCAGAATTCCTCACTTTTGCAAACTTCCCTCTGTTAAAACCTTCTCCACTTGTGTTCTAGAATGGAGATGATCGTTAGGGTAATTGTACGGAGCAAATAAAGCATCAGGGTGGATAACGTCTGCGTTTTTGGGAAAGCATTTGATCTGGTAGAGCACACAGAGGCACGAGCCTGTACCTTGGTTTCACGTACGTGTACAGCAAGTGTCTACATTTGCCTACACGGTTAAACGGGGGAGGACGGGATCTTTATAGTCTCAAGGAGACTTGTAGCCACCCGGCTTGGACACCAAAAGTGCAGCAGGCAGGATCTCACCAGGGAAGCCTTCCAAAGCACCTACCAACGTCTATCGGTTACGTACGGGCTCTAGGTATGTACTTAAGGAAGACTGCTTCATCATGGATCTAGACGGATGACATTCCACAGACACATGAGATGGACTGGATTTCACCCAAAACTTTTATCCTGTGCTGCATAAGGATTATACAAACATATCTTCAGGATTGTCCAAGAAAACCAGAAGATGCTACAAATGTAAGAGTAGCTCTTTAAACTTACATCAAAACCAAGCACTTCCTCAGGTCTTCGTGTTGCAACATGAGAAGCATCAGAGGATTCCCAAAACTAGAACTTTCTCGGGTTCACACAGTTTGCAGGCTGAAAGGTTACCAAGTGCTGCAGTACTGAATTACCTCCTTCCAGCTACATATTACAGACACTGCAGGCTGTATTGCATGCAACCATCAGTCCCTTATCTCTGTTTGCAAGGTATCCGGATGTCCACAATTATGGTGCCAATCCACTTTACAAATTTAATACAGCTTCTTTGGAGTGATCTCTCCTCTGGCACTGCAGAGCACAGCCAATGCTGGAATAACTAATGACGCAGCAGCTGGGATTTCTGCAGAGTACACAGGCAGGGAGAAGGCAGTCGGAGTTAAAAGCTGGCCTGTACGCAGAGTTTATTTGAACAGACTAACTTTGAATTTCTCCCACCATAGGTGGGAGATGGTTTAGACCATGGTTTAGACCATTTAAGGTCAGATGATTTAGACAAAGGCTGAGCTTGGACGATTTTTTCGCTAAATAACCCCGAGAGCTTGCACATCCCGCCTACCAAGTGATTCTTTGCCCTTCTTTTCTTTTTTTAATCAACCCCAGCTCATTCTTTTCATCCATCCAAGCATTTCTTCTGTGCTTTGCCCAGAATTAAAAATCGCATTAATCAGTTTTTGGACTATTTTTGCTGCCTCTTGACAACAGAAGCGAGCACTGACTGACTTGACGCAGTCGCTGAGATATTTGCTGCCCTTGTTTCGTGGCTGGGACGTGCTTACGTATGTGCTATTTCTGTGCGAAACTCTGCGGGACGTCTCAGTAAAAACTTACCTCTGGTTCATTTTTGAACAAAGGAGCAGATGAGGATCAAGGTAACAGGAAAATGCTAGGAGGTCTCATGCCTGGAGAAGTCCCTCTCAAAGCCCATTTTTATACACATGTAATGAGAGAATTGTTTCCTTTACACTCCTGCTTGTAAAATAAGCAGAAAAACATGTTTTCTCTACTCATTCTCCTGGGTCTACTTGTTTTCCTAAACCAGGCATCCAATTTCTTACTTCTTTTCCCACTCCACAGTATTTTCTTAAAGGAATTACGATTTAAATGTTTAATATTTGTTACATATACAACCGAGAATGAATCTTTACAACATTTAAGGGGTACAACACAAAAAGGTTACTGCTAGATTTTCAATAGATTATCAAACAACCACTTTATTTAGGTTTTTTTGCATTTCAAATAGTGTGATTACACTTTTCAGCAGATGTTAGGTCAAGACTGCCGACTACACATCGCTGCAGCTTTCTTCAGCAGTCTGACAGTCCCCTTTCGGAGTCTCACACCCACTGTTCTCACGTGTGAGAATGGGAGACGTGAAAATCGAGACCTAAGGCAGTGGCCACATATTCTCAGAATGGGTGCCTAGAGACACTCAAATTTCTGTTTGGGAACCTAATTTCTCAAAGACCCTCAAGGCGAGGTTTAGCTGAGAACTGCGACTGATTAGTCCTTCCAAAATTAGACTCCTCCGAAGGCCCATTTCAGCAAAGCACTTCAGCAAGCGCTTCACTTTAAATACAAATAGTCTTAATGGCCTACACATGACTGAAATTAAATTCACTCCTAATTATCCGTCTCAGGTATAGCTCCTTAAATATGTATTTAACCCAGGTTTAGTTAAACAAACTGAAAAATGTGGCCCATAGAAAATGCAAAGGGAATAAAGCATCAATATGAGACCAATTTTTTAAGTGCTCCTATTCCCCTTCTTAGTGACACTACGTAAGGATGGGAAGGCTAAGATGATTTTCATAACTGAAGAGCTGAAGAGGTGCATTAGCAGCATATGCTGTACCACAGGTCTGCAAACAAAGCACAGAGCCCCTTCAGCGGGACGTGCGAGCGAAACACCAGCGCGGGAGCAGAAGCAGAGCTCGCCAGTGAGAGTGAAGCGGTAGCTAAGAAGACATTTGGTAAAAATATATACTGAGATTTTTAAAACTTTGAACTTTGACATTTTTAAACAAATTGTAAACTATGAAAAAACCCCACATACTTTTCATTACCTTTGCTGAGCCCCTAATAAAACAACAGATTAAAAAGAAATCAGGAACTCTGCATTTCCATATATTCCCCAAGACTGCTGAGGGACCTTCCCCAACCAAAGAGACGTTACTAGGTAAACACGACACAAATATTTTTGTCTTTATTCAGTCCTCTGGAACAACACGCAGGCATTTATTTATTTATCTTTACTTCAGCTAGAAGGACATTCCGTTTATTTAGCCTTTAATTAGCTCATTGTTCTCACAAGCTGAAAGCCCTCCGGGTCCAGCAATCCTTGTGGGGCTCGGTGTTCCTTCCAGTTGGCTTGCCAGTCGTAAGGCAGTCTGTCGTGCACACTGTTGCTCTCACAGCTGTGGACCCCATCAGGGATATTGTGTGTGTGGGGGGAAACAAACTCTAAGCAAGAATATAATCTCTTCAATACACAGACCTTAATGCAATTAGCTGTTTTAATTTTAAGAGATGCTGAGGTGCTTGAAATGTCATCACTTTTACACAGATTTAAAGGGGTCCAGTTGCACAGGTTGCCAGCACACGGCCGTTTTTATGGCACACCTCCATAAAAGCGATGGCATAAAAAAATCAGGTCTTTGGTGTAAGGATTTCAGATCCGATTCGGGTTTATATAACAGATGGCCAGCACACCACCCATCTCATTGATGTGAATGGAAACATTAGCGCTATAGAGTTTCATCCATGTCTCACTGGGAGACTTATTTAGCAACTGGTTTGTAAATAGTTTGTATCTCAGTGGAAACTGTGCTAAAACCATGAAAAAAAACAGGCAGTAAAATAAATATTACTGCAATTTCTCCCTCCCCATACTCACCTTTGTCCTAAATTAATCTTAAAATCCC